GGCTACTGATTAAATCTTGCTCTGGGTGTAGATTTAATCTCAACACCCAGGGACTGCAAACCTTTCCCTGAATCATCTGCTAATCAGTAGAGACTCTGAAGGTGAAGGAAGCAAGAGCAGATAAAAAGCTAGGGCTCCAAATGGGAGGAAGGGGGGGGGATGAAGTGAGATAGTGTGAAAAGAATACTGGAAGGGGGACAGTAGATCAGGGTTCAAATCTCACCTCTGCTCTTCTTACTGGACAACTTGGGTAATTACTGCTATTTATTTATTTATTTATTTGGAGAGGTTTTGGCTATAGGGTGCATGCGCTCGCCAGAGACAGACAGAGAGAGACAGACAGAAAGCGAGAAATCACCCACCCAGGGGGATGGCCACACCACAGTCCCTTCTCCATTCTCCTCTCGGGATCTTGGGCACGCACTCATATGCACCCAGTGTGAGTTTAAGCCACCGGGTCCAGGACTCAAACTGCGGTCGACTACATGGGAGTCCAGTGACATAGGCATTACGCTAACTGCTGGTCCCATTACTGCCATTTATGAGCCTTGGCTTCCTCTTCTGTAGCTAAAAGAAATAACTAAGGGGAGAGGGACAGGTTTAGAGGAAAGAGATTTAACAGACACAGAATGTAAGATTCTTTGTTAAAAATGATGTATATGGTGGGACCAGCAGTTAGTGTAATGGCTATGTCACTGGACTCCCATATAGCCGACCGCGATTCGAGTTCCAGACCTGGTGGCTTAAACTCACGCCGGGCACGTGTGTGTACATGCCCAAGATCCCGAGAGGAGAATGGAGGAGAAGGAATTGCGGCATGGCCATCCCCCCTGGGGGGTGATTTCTCGCTTTCTGTCTCTCTGTCTCTCTCTGCCTTTCTGGAGAGCACAAGCGCCTTATAGCAAAAACCTCTCCAAAAAAAAGTGGGGGAAAAAAAAAAAGAAGTAACTAAGAATCCCTATCCCCCTTTAGAGTTGAGGATGTTTCCTGTCCTATCAAATCAGGATCTTGGAACCCACCCCACACCGAAGAAAAGATCAGTTCAAACTTCTAATCTCAACAAACAAGCCCTGTTTACTTTTTTCCCCTGCAGAGGGCACAGGCCCTTGCCAGAGAAAGAGAGAAGGAGACAGAGGAGAAAGCACCCTGGACAGCATGGTCACACTGCAGTCCATTCTCCTCCATTTCTCCATCCTGTTGGAATTGGAGGAAAACACACCCTGTGTTTTTGAAGCCACCAGGGCTGGGACTCCAACCACATGCTCAGCCATGTGGGTCCAGCTCCTTTAAGGACTGGGCCATGAGGCCAGCCCTATTTTGTTTTCCAAGTGTATTAATTCCATTAATGAGTGAGTGAGAGGAGAGAAGAGAGGGCAACAGAGTCCTGATGCCACAATCCCCTCTAGCCTCAGCTAGCCCCAGGTCACGGGCATGCAGGCCAGGCACTGTCAGGGAGGTCTCTGGACTCGAACTAGGAACCTTCCATGTGGGTTTGCCTCCCAGACGACTGTGTTTTATAGCTGCACCTCCATCTGGCTCCAAGTTCTGTCTGAATGGCCACAAATGTCTCTATAGGCTCATCTTTCAATAAGCTCACCCCTCACCTGATGCTCCCGTGCACCCCACTTCATGCATTTTCTCCTGTTTTCAGTGTCTAGACTTCTCTCCCCTAACGTTTTTTCTCTTTTTTTCTTTTCTTTCTTTCTTTCTTTTCTTTTCTTCTCTTTTCTTTTCTTTTTTTCTTTTTTTGTCTGAAGATTTCACCTTTGTCCTGGAAGATATTCAACTCTAGGTTGCTTATTGTGTCCTCTTAGTGCTTTGGGACATTGCCCTGTTGTCTTCTGGTGGCAGTTAAGAAGTCAGCTATCTAATAGTTGTTCCTTTGTAGGCACCATATCGCATATCTGTCCTCTCTTTGGTTTTTGGTGTTCTGCTATTTCACGATGTTGTGTCTAGTTATGGATTCCCCTCCATATACCTCTTCCTCCCTGGTTTATTTGTTTGTTAATATCTACTTGCCTTTTAAGACTTAGCTCAGCGGCTGACTCCACGGTGTAGCAGTGACAGTGACGTGCTGTGCAGAGGAAGCAGGATACCACATGACTGACTGGGGTTTGAGCTCCAGTCCCAGCGCATGTGTGCATGTGTATGTTGCCCTATAGCCTGTTCTAATTTTCTGCCTTCTACTCAGTCTGCCCCCCACCCCGCCCTAGACATAATAAAGCTTGGCAGTTTTCTGTTTAGAGTTATGCATTTGACCTTCCACTGAGTTATGGACACCAAGAGCACAGAGTCTCAGCTCCCTTCTGCCTCTGCCCTGTACCTATTACAGCCTAGGAAGGATATGAATCCGAATCTTCTTTTTTTCTTTAAAGAATTATTTTTAAAATTTAACTTTATTTATGTATTCATTCATTTCTGTTTGATCAGAGAGGGAGATAGAGAGAAAGAGAAAGACAGAGAGAGAGAGAAAGTGAAAGACAAAGCTGCCTGGTCTGGGACTTGAACGACGGTCAACCATGTGGGAGTCCAGCACCCTTAACCATCATGCCACCTGCTGGTCCCCTGAATCCAACCTCCTTGGGTTGCAGAGCAACTGGGCAGAGCCAGAAGTGACCATAGGGATGTCTGACCTCAAAGTCCTTTAGTTTGAGCACTGCCTCCCTTTTGTTCCAGAAAAGGCTACACAAGTGAAAAATCCCCAGAGGACAAGGATTGTGATTCATCTTTGCATCCGCCATAGGCCAGTGGCTACACCCAAGCACCATGAAGCCAGTTGTGAAAGTCTGGGCTGGGCAGGCTCTGGCTCAGGCTCCCAATCGCTGTTTATTGGCAGAAGTCAGCAGTGCAGGGATTATCGTCCCCACTTTATAGATGAGGAAGTTGCCATCAGAGAGGAATAGGAACGTTGCCCAAGGTCGTCCCTGAGTCAGAGGACAGCAGACTTGAACTCGGGATACCAGGGGACCTGTATTGAATAAGAGGAAGGAGGCTGCCAGGCCAGGTTTTCCCACTTGAGCCAACTGGGCTGGCCGCTTTATGGGCCCTGTAAGTCACTGGGACACATTGGCACCCAACCCTGTTCTAATGACCCTAAATCAGGCTGTACTCCTGTGAGGAAGCTGGGCCCCACAGAGCCTAAATAGGGACAAGTGACTGGTTTATGGCAGGGCCAGGACCGAGGTCAGGGCTAAAGATAGGCTAAGAATGTTAAGAACAGGAGTGGGGAAGGCCTTCCACTCTGCGTGACCTGGAGTCAGAGACGGCACACAGAGCCACCACCACCACCCAACTTTGCCCCTTCGTGGTGCCCAACACTCAGGTGCATCTGTGAGGAAGTGCCGTCAGCTCCCACCCTCTGCCTGCAAATCTCCAAGGGATGTGCCACCAGGCCTGATTCTCCGCCCTTATCTTTCTAGCTCCGCAAACACCTAGGGCCCTTCCACATTCCTGGGGGGGGGGCGCTCATGGAATGAACTTTGAAGTCGGTCCAAAAGTCACTGATCAATAGTCCCTAACCCCTCCAGAAGCTTTCAAGTCTTTCCCAAACTCTTCCGGACTGGCCAGTGGCCACAGGGACCCCTGGGAGTGGTCTTAATTCCTGATAATAGGCTTCCTCCTCCTCCACCGCTAGGTCCTAAAAGAGACATTTTTACAGCTCCAGGAACAAAAATCCACTCCCCAGAAAGGGCTCAGGCCTGTGGAATTCCTCTCCCGACTGCCATGGCCCCAGGTTGTTAATGAAATTGAAGGCAGTGTAGACAATAGGCCTCTAAGCCTGCTGTGGACACCCCCTCCTCTCCCTCCTGCTTCTCTGCAGGATCAAAGCTGCCCTATGAGGCTTTGTGATCTGAGCCAGGAGGGGTGAGCCCACCACAGTCTAACCAAGGAGGAAGCCCCTTTGCCAGGATTATTCTGGAGGAGGCAATCCCTGCTCTGAGGTCCCTAAGCCAGGTTCAAAGGCTGGTGGGTGGGTGGGGGGGGTTGAAAGGTTGGCAGTGGAGAAGTGGCTGGAACCGAAAAAGCGGGGGGAAGGGATCGGGGCCACTGGGGTCCCTGTCCCCCAGTTTGAGCTTCACAGAAACCCTCACCCCTTGTGGACACACATGACCTGCAGTAGTAGGGGACTTCAACCAAGAGAGGGAAAAGGCCTCTCCTGTGGATTAGGGGCAGCCACCGTTCCCAAATGTTGAGCCTTCCTCCCTCAGCGACCTTTCCCGTCCTGTCCCTGAACTCCTCTAGCGGTGCTGGAGGAAGAACTAGGGATCCATTCAGACTGGTCTCTTCCCATCTCCCGGGTCTGGGGGATGGCGGGCTCCAGCTCCTTCCCTCCCACCCGACCCCATGACCCCATCCTCTCACTGAGCCCCTTTGCGACCCTTTCTCAGTTCTTCCCCTCACGCCCCAGCCTTCCAGCCTCAGCTCTGGTTGTCACACGCACACCCCCAGCAGCAGTTTGGGGACAAGCTCGGTCTGTGTTGGAGGAAGGGTCTTTGGTCTGCAGAAGCTCCGGACTAACGGAAAACGAGATGAGACCCTGCGATCAGTGACCGCTGCCTCAGGGAGACAGGAGAGCTCTCCTCTGGGGCCACCCGTTCAACACACAGCGGCGCCTCTTCTCTCGGAGGCCATCTCCAGCCACCCGCTACCCACGGCCAGTCCAAGGCCCATTCCGAGATTACCGCGGGAGGCTGGCGCTAAAAAGGTCGAAGTCAGAAATCCGGGCACTCACTCCTGGGGGAGGCGAATCCCTTGTGATGTCCTTTCCCTGCTCCCGAACCCGGGCCGAGAGAGGATGAGGTGGGGGGCCAGGGAGGGTGCCGCTTCTGAGCAGAGAGAGCCCTGGGTGGGCGAGCGGGGCTCGCTCCGCGGGAACAGGTGGCTGCGCAGGGAAGGGGGTCTAGGGAAGAG